CTTATTCACTGTTAAAATGCTGTACCATTACTTTCACCATCCTACTACAGCCAGATCTGAAGGCCTTTGCCGCATTCTGGCCATGCTGTGTGGCGCGTATCGCGTGGACGGGTTTCACGTTCTCTGCACGTAATAAGCTCGGTTATTAAGCATCCTTTTTTGGGGATGCCCGGTGGCCGAGGGGAAGACGTGTAGTGGCGTGAAGCTAGGCGATTAGGTGCCGTACGCGAGCGCCGGTTCGAGTCACGCACGCAGTACGTATTTACTATAATTAGACATAGTCTTTACCTTGCCGTTTATTCGGTGTTATTTGCTTACTAAGTTTCATTGATATCTGTGGAATAGTACATAAAAAAACAAATGAAAATGCTTAAACTTGGCTAATTAATATGCAGATTAGGTCATTAATATGCACAGGATCTTACTAGGTCTGCGTAATAAATATATCAGGGCATCTATGTACCAAGTTTCATTGAAATATCTTGAATAGTACATGAGAAACAACTGAAAGTGCATAAAGTTGGCTAATTAATACACAAATTAGATGATTAGTATGCACAGATCTTTAGCCCAAACTAATAATGTCTGTGCATAGTCCTAGAACAGCTATATACCAAGTTTTCTTGAAATGTAATGATTAGCACTTGAAATATCAGTGGAAAAGCCAAAACTTTACTTATTATGCAAATTGGGTAATTAATATGTGACGATATTACCCCAAAACTTATCAGGTCTGTGCACTATCCTTTGACATCCATGTACTATTGTAATGTGAGGATTAGTACTTGAGATATTAGTGTAAAAGCCATAAAATTCACTAATCATTATGCAAATTAGGTAAAAAAATATATGTATTTTCATCCAAAACTAATCAGGTCTGTGCATTGTCCAAGAGCATGTGCACCAAGTTTCATCAAAAACCAATGAGTGGTTCTTTAAATATCAATGGAATAGTCATAGAACAGCTAAAAATTGGCTACCAGTGATTATCATGCAAATTATTTATTAATATAAAGGAATTTAAACTGAAACCTAATTAAATCTGCACATTAGCCCAGAGCATCTATGCATCAAAAACCAACATGGTTCTTGAGATAATGGTTTTAACAGTGCAACAGACAAACACACAATGCGAAGTAGAATTGCGTAATTAAATAAAAGTTGAATATTCCATGACTGAACAGAGAAATGTTTGCGAAGCTTAGGTTTAGTAAAGATGGAATTATATTAATATTCATATAAACTGTACCATACATTCTCCCTTTACTAAACCTAAGCTTCGCAAACTTGACTTAAATTTGATTAAATATTAATATAAATTATGAAACTAGTGAGGATCGTCACAATGTAGGTCCTGTCATCACATGTCGGTGTAAATTCGTCACAACATTGTTATCACACACGCAAACATATATAGACACACTAACAGCAAAGACTCCCATTGTGTGCTTCACACACAGGAATCAGGTCGTGAAACAAATTCATGTGCATGTATAAATATTATGTATAATGTAATTGTGAAGCTTAAATATAATACTTCCAGGCATGTCTAAGATATAGGTCCGGAAGCACGCACAGAGCTCAATCCATAAGTCCACATTTCCGGACAGTGTCCGAATGGGGATTAATAATTAATCAATCATTCATTGACAATCAGTTTACTTACCACTGGGCGATGCAGCTGGTAAGTCTGTGCCAGCCACCAACGCTATTGGGTCGCCTGGTACATCAATATCCCCACAACTATATGGCTCAGGAGAGTTCATCGTCAGTGTCAAACTAAAAGAGTTCCATAGACTTTCACTCTAGAACAGAACAGAAATAATTATAAGACTCGGTCTTTATAAAATAATAATAAATAAAATATGCTTATAATAATATTTCTTTTTTGTATGTGTTTGTTTTTCACTATGTGAATAAATCTGTTGTGGACGGGATGTGTATTCACGAAGGACGAGGCTACGTATGTCGCAGAACATTCTGTTTAGCTATTAAAGACATACATGTACCGGTACACCACTCCATAATGTATCTTTACGGGCTCTGTGTGACTCGCTGTGCATCGCCGTTCGAAGAGTCAGTGAAAACAGCTGAGGTCATGAAAACAGCACAAACTCAACTAAGAGACAATCCTCAACAACCAAATTTATATATGTTGCACATGTAGAGGTAATCGTGTTACACCAACAGGAGATTCTCAACAAATATCCCAAAGTACAAAGAGTTTTAGACCGTTGTTTTCACAGTGAAAATGCTTGGATGTTCGCTCCTGATATTAGTAATAGATTAGTATATTGGAATGTAGCAAAGAATGACATAGCTGCACAACATGAATGTGTATAATAACACTATGTTGAGACGTGCAGACGACAAATCAAGCCATTCATATCAAATTTTTATAATGCATGATACATATGAAGTGCTTTGTTTAAGTTAATTTGTATTAATATGTTTTTAATTATACGTCACAAACCCGGCATAATTTTTTTTGTTTCTGAATTTATAATCAAAAAATTATATTGATTCAGGGGCGATGGAACACAAAAGCATAACTATCGTCTGATAATGTATAGAAATGATGTAAAAATATGTGAAAAATCATATTAATTTGTTCTACAATAAAATTACATTTTTACATTACATGCTTCCACCGTTACTTCTATGTTTTGGTAGTGAACTCGTTAGTATGTATGGCCTTAATTGTTTTTTTTTTGTTTTTTCTTTTCAAACCTATGAACAGAAAGTGTTATCTATTACTGTAGAATACTTTATTTTCGCTTGGAATTTATTTTTGCTGAAGGGATGATTCCGTGAAAATAAAATCCAGCGAATATACTTTTTTTCTATATTTCACAATAAACTCATCAAAAATCAGTGAAAATAAGTTCCATACAAAATGCCCAAAAAGCCTTTTTAGCGAAAATTAATTCCAGCGAAAATAAAGTATTCCACAGTATGTCAATTGTTTCATGCAAATTTTATGATAAAAGAAAATATCAAATTTTTTTTTCTTTTGTAAAACAAAGACTATAATCTATATGATAGGGCAGTTTATTTGTTTACTACACACTTATTATTTTTTTCTTGTCTGTGTATTTGTAATTTTGAAATGAAATAAAATTACTTAAAAGAAAAAAAAAATTACATTTGGCGATGAAATAATCACAATTTGAAAGTTGTTTTGTCTCATACCACTCACATGTGATGCTAAACCATTTATATTCAACATCTATGTATATGTGAGATGTAAAAATGATGTCAACACAAATACCTGATATCTCAGCACAACTTCATATTGTTGGTTTCTTGGCACCACCACATTTGAAAAAGTTACAGTACCTCCCTCGCTGACCACAAGGTAACCGATACCAGTCACGTCACCTTCACCATGCCCAGGTTGTTCTTCGATGACAATTGGCTGGAACAGGGAAAAAAAGCATTTTAGAAAAACCACACAACATTGAGTAGATATAGTTTTAATTGGCTGCTATAATTTTTTTGCAGATTTTAATTTGTGGTGGACAACATTTCGATTGTCTCTGTTAAAAAAGAAAAAGAAATGTGCACTAGTACTAAATTTTGCATATTCCCTCGGTAAATTTGCTAACACTTGTCAGTACATGCATGCAAACAATTCCTGATAGAATAAACAAGATAGAGATGAATTGTTATGAATTTGGCAAATCAATGGAAATTGGGAATTTTATAGCAGTTAATATTTCACTTAAGTCACAGTAACTATGGTTATGCCATTAAGTGTAAATATATTCCTAGTAAAAACAATACAGTAATTGGTATATTTGAACTGTCATTGATTAAGTTGTGATATTACTCTCGGACACAGACCCATGCGGTCAAGATACCACATCAATCCTTTATTTTGTTTTTGAATCTAGATGTCGTTAAAACGACAATGAACGGCTCACCTGATCTGAAGAAGCTAGCTCGGCTTCATATAAAAGACCATCTAGTTTAGGTACGTAGTATCCGGCCTCAGTTTCATTACAAGATCGGCCAATGATATGACTTCCTCTACAGCCACACACTCCAGAGTCTTTGTCACAGAGGGAGGCTACAGCGCCACCAATGTCACAATTACATAGAGTACATCCATCAGGGTTGCTGGCTTGCAACGAGAAAGCGCCATCCTACAAAAAAATTGCAGTCTCATAATGACGTTAAAATGCATGGGACATAAATACGAACTGATTTTACCAATATACTGACTACCAGTGCGAATGTTAACCAGATAATAAAATAAGTATGGCACCTGAATAAAATATAATGTATCAACCAGTCCTGATTGAATTGAATTATGTCAATAAAGTTATCTTATCCTATCTTAAATTGCAGACCTAACCCACCGATTAAAGTTCCCAGCCTTCCCACTGTGGTCCTATCACCTAGCTACATAGGAGTCCCACCCTCTTTTGATGTTCAGCCCGAAGTAGGATTTGATATTGGGACCGATTGATAATGAGTTGAGTAAAAATCATTATATGATACTATAACATTTCTTATTTCTGCCATTAGAGGGCATACTTTCTATTCTAATGTAAATACGAGGGAATATATTTAAAGTACCAAATACATTTTTTTTATCAATTCTGATATTTGTGATGAAAATAAGCACTTATTAGTCAAAGATTGATACGCAATATTTTGAATTGGGAAAATGGAGCACTCACCTTGCACTTATCACATAAGGCTCCTTCAGTATTTGCTTTACATATGCACTGACCAGTTTCCTTATCACAAAACTTGGAAGTGTCCTTAGACCCAGGCGCATGACAAGTACACTCTGAAATAGAAATACTCTCATCAACACAGAGATAGATGTGTAATATGATTGCTACAAGAATGCTAAATCAAAGTCTGAGAAACAACAGACCAATCACATGACTCATTCAACCAATAACAAAGAGGCTAACAAATTTGTCAGATACTGTGCAAGTTTGAGATCTAAGAAACAACCAAGGTGATTGGGTACAGACCATTCACATGACTATCATTCAACCAATAAGAAGGAGGCCGACAGATTTGTCAGACATTGTGCAAGTTTGAGATCTAAGAAACAACCAAGGTGATTGGGTACAGACCATACAGACTGTCATTCAACCAATAAGAAGGAGGCTGACAAATTTGTCAAACACTGTGCAAGTTTGAGATCTAAGAAACAACCAAGGTGACTGGGTACAGACCAATCACATGACTGTCATTCAATCAATAAGAAAAAGGTTGACAGATTTGTCAGATACTGTGCAAGTTTGAGGTCTAAGAAACAACCAAGGTGATTGGGTACAGACCATACATGCTGTCATTCAACTAATAAGAAGGAGGTTGACAGATTTGTCAGATACTGTGCAAGTTTGAGATCTAAGAAACAACCAAGGTGATTGGGTACAGACCATACAGACTGTCATTCTATCAATAAGAAAGGAACTTAAAGTTTTAGTTTTAAACCACAATATTGGTTAATATTATAATAATAAAAATATTAATAGATTTACCTTGGCAACCATTGGGATTACTTGGTTGAAGATTCCAGTACGTGTCTTTACATACATCACAAGCTCTGCCCTCAACGTTGGTTTTACACTCACATTGGCCGCTGATTCCATCACAATCAGTATTCATTTTGGTGCCTTCCACACTACAGTTGCATGCTGGGAAGAATACATTTGTACATGTAAAGAAATTATATCCCTGGCCATGACTGATGGCAAATACTTATCAATATAACAGTGTAACAATGTTTGATGGACATATTTAAAGAGTAGATTTTTTAACAGAAAAATTAATTTTTAAGATTTAATTTTTACAAGCAAAATAAACAAAAAATTGAAAAAAATACATAAACTGTACATTAGTAAGTAACCACAAGTGATATTCAATGCAGGTTTGAATTAAATACAATTTTGAGAACAAAAATGTATCAAACATTCATTAGGTTAGATTTCACAGAATTAATGTGAATATTTTCTGTTGAAATATATTTTATAATGTATGTTAACCTTTTTACTAGATTTTCTCACCAAAATTTGTCTGCACTTTTTTCATATATTCTTCAATATTTCGGGAAATGACCCTGATTGGCCAACAGATAAAATTTGAGTCAATTTTCAGTTTTTACTCAAAAAATGTGGCTATTTCTCCCAATCTTCTGAAGGAAAGTGCAGACTATAAACGGGACTATTTTGTGAATTTGTGATGATAAACAATGCATTTCACAACTGTCATATTTGTCACTATGGGACCAATATCGCACGGGATGAAGCGTGACGACGACTGTCTTTTAACTTTATTGTAAGGTTTTCATGAAATATAAATTGTGCCTAAATCCCAAAACACTAGACACACCTCCCTAACCTACACCTAATATCCCCCGATGACTATAGTGAGGTTAAAAAAGAAATTAAGAAAGATTGTGTAAAAGATTACAATGTGAAAATAAAATATACTTACAAAGACAACTTTGATCACATGGATAGGACACCAATGATTCTGATTTTGGGGACAAATAAAATAAACAACAAAATAACAAATAAACATAAGCAAATTAAATTAAATAAAAATCAACAAATAATACAGGGAGAATTGTCTTAATGTCTTTGACTACTTGTGCTGCACTGTGGGCAATTTACACAACTTTATAAAAAAATGGTTGTCCATAATTATTTCTGTATTTGCAATCTGTAGACAATTTTATTTCCATTTACATCTGTTATTTGAGACGAGGATTGAAATTCAAAGAAATTAAATGATATGGAGAGGGTTGGAATACTTTTGCATAAACAAAAGTTGTGATATAATAGTAACGTACCACAAGAGGGCACTCTTTACCATGTAATAGCACAAATAACTGGGATGATACATAATTAGTAACAGATAGCTTTACCAAACATTGTTAAAAACATATATTCTTATCCACGCATATTTTTTCACTTGAAGGAGTGACTGTAAAAGTAATTGTAAATGAATAATTTGAATGCTATGAATGTAAAACTTGTCCACCGCCACTCTATAGATCATTCTTAAAAACAGACCAAATTTCATCCAAACGATGCTCAACAAGAATAAAGGAATGATCCACACCTGTTCGACAATAGTAAATGTATACACAAATAACTGCACAACAAAATCGGGCGTGACTCCTCGAAGAAAATGTTTGATGACAGATTTTAAAAGCAATAATTCAGAATCCATCATGAACTAGACCAATATACACTAAACAAGGATTTCACTATTAATAATAGTCAGAAAAAAGAATGATGTTTTGTTTATGTGGAACAACTTTAATGATCCATGTGTAACGTTGTTTACAAATTTGAAGCAATTCACTTAATTGACTGATCTGTAGCTAGACTGTGGTAGTCAGAAATGAATATGAATCTCTTCGTGCAAGCTTTCTACTCCTGACGTACAATAACTCACCGTCACATGTTTCGTTCACACCCGGTATCGTGTATGGATTGATAAAATACGATGGCAAACACAGTTCACATTTATCGCCCGTTGTATTGTCGGTACAATCGTCGCAGACACCAGTTCCTTTCGTTTCATCATAGTGACAAGACGTAGCATGTCCATTACACCCACATTCTAAAATTGAATAATAAAAATCTGAATCACAAAAATGTTCACATGATCAATAAAAAGTACACAGCGACATGTATCACCATGGAAACTCACCTCTCTATAAAGACCACCTGTCTATAGTGACCCCATTTAGGCAGTTTCAAGGAGTCAATTATGAGCAACCTGTGTATAAGGACCACCAGTTTTTTGTGACCATCTCTATATATATAAAGACCACCTGTCTATAGTGACCACCTCTATATAAAGACCACCTGTCTATAGTGACCACCTCTATATAAAGACCACCTGTCTATAGTGACCACTTTTAGGTAGTCTCAAGGCACAACGTGTGAGCAGCCTGTTATTTGTGGCCACCCTTTCATATTTTTGCAAATTTGTCTTTGTTTGGATACCAAAATAATAATTAGCATTCTGTTCATAAAACATTTTAATCAATTCAAATAAATGTGTTTTTGTTGCAACACAACAGCATCTTCTAATTATTTTATGAACAACTATTCTGTTGATTGTATGAGCTGATGATTACAACCAATACTTTTTTATCAACAAATAATTCTAACTTTTAAATCTTCATCGCAAAAATTATTCAATATTCCATGTATTTATGGTGACGGATTCCCATGAAAGTCACTGTGACTCAATTCTCCATCTCAAAAACACAGTAAAATGTTTTCCACTACAAAATATTGCAATTTTTCTGACCCGCAAAATTTGCAGAAATTGATCCTCCATGAAACGATAGCTTTACAGTACGCGCAATCTAGCGATAAGTACCAGTAAGCAGCACTATTCATCAAAATAGAGAGAAAGGGACAATCATGTTAATTTGGCTCAAAATTGAAATGCTAGATTGCAATTGAATTGCAGACATTTTAGACACTTTTATTTAAATTATGAAAAAAAAACATTGAAAAATTTAGATTTATTTTTCCATTTCCAAAGTTGACCCTCATCATTAGGGTTAAGAAATTTGATAAAAAATGCAGATTCAGAACAAGAAATTATTGAAAGGTGATTGTTTCAAGTCAGTGTTTCAATTTGTCAAAACAATTGACTGGAGTTTTACAATGTCTATGATAGGAAGTCTCCCATGAACTAACCGAAGACATTTCATTCACAAAATGTACAGTGTCACACTAGTTCCTGTCATTTATAAAAAGCATGTTGTACCAGTCAAAAGAATCCCATTCTATTTCAGTAGTTGTAATTTTATTCTAATCTATTTCTGTTTACATCATCCCCAGGGTTCTCCCACAGTCAATCGCTTTACAGTCTACCAGGACGTGTACATGCTTTTAAAGGCTTAATTTACATATAAATGAAAGTGGAATACATTATCATAATAATTATCATAATGAGATAGCTCCGCTGTTAGCAATGCACATTTCAATTAAAGAACAGAAGATATCATTAGAAAATGAACAAATCTGGAAGAGGTCTACCTGAGGAACCTATATGTATAATATCAAAGCAATCAAGATTTTCGGTTTTTAACAAAAAGTCAAAAATATAACTTTTTACCAAAAATGACAAAAATATTCATCAAAATTAGAGAATTGAAGATATCATCATGAAATGAACAAATCTGAGAGAGGTCCACCTGTAGTACCTATATGTATAGTATCAAAGTAATCGGATTTGCGGTTTTTAACAAGAAGTCGAAAATATAACTTTTTATCAAAAATTACAAAAATATTCAAAGAATTAAAGATATCATCACGAAATGAACAAATCTAAGAGAGCTCTGCCCAAGGTACATATATAAATATATATACAATTATCAAAGCAATAACAATTGTAGTTTTCAAGAAGAAGTCGAAAAAGTAAAAGTTGACACGGTCGACGACACCGGACGACGAAGGACAATCACTCATATGATGAGCTCTGCGCGACAAAGTCAACAGCGGAGCTAAAAATAATAATAAAAATCACTTGTATGCATTTTTGGAAATGAATGTGTATACAAACAATACTTACCTTCGCATTCATTTGCACTTGATCCAAAACCAGCTTGCCATTCTCTGTTGTTATACAATGGTAAACACGACTCACAGTTTTTACCTTCTGTATTATGCTGACATATACAATCTGCTCCATTCTGTTACGATAAACAAAAATACAGTGTGATATCTAACAATAAATAAGTTAGCCAGAATTGTCTACAAGTTATCAAAGAGCTACAAAATAGTATCTACAGCTGCCTGGGCCATGTATAGAGCCTCATTCCAATATCAAAATGGTTGCCAGAACCATCTAGCCCCATTTTGATATCAAAATGGTTGTCAGACTATGTAGCCTCATTCTGATATCAAAATGGTTGCCAGAACCATCTAGCCCCATTCTGATATCAAAATGGTTGTCAGACTATGTAGCCTCATTCTGATATCAAAATGGTTGTCAGACTATGTAGCCTCATTCTGATATCAAAAAGGTTACCAGAACCATCTAGCCTCATTCTGATATCAAATATGGCTGCCAGCACAATGTAGCCTCATTCTGATATCATAATGGCTGCCTTGGCAATGTAGCCTCACTCAGATACCAAAAATGGCTGGCAGAACCAGCTCGCTTTCTTCTGATATAAAAACGGTTACCAGAATCATCTAGCCTCATTCTGATATCAAAATGGCTGTCTTGCCAATATAGCTTCACTCGGATACCAAATATTTATTTTGACTGTATATGTACTATGATGTATTCAAAACTTGTTTCTCAGGAACATAATGGAATTTTACCACAAAAAAATATTGCATATCAAAAGAAAATATACACTAAAACCAACATAATGTAAATATCAATGGAGGAAACTTTGTTGAGAAACAACAAACGGAAGACAAAATTGAAATTATATCTATCTAAGCAATGCCGATAATAAATTTTACAAACTAAATACAGCCATAAACACTGTTTACTTTGTCACAGTTGTGTTAGCTATATTTTACAAAAGCTTAATCACGATGTCACAATGGAAGGATAATCCCTGCATGCAGTCCATCAGTGCAATGCAACAGTTGGTCAATTGCAAGTCAAACTGAATGGACTCTACTCTATGATACACTTTACATTCCGAAAGGCAACTAATAAAAATTCAGAAATTCCACAAGAAAACAATATTTGAAATAGGGGAACATAACGCTATTGTATACTAATATATTGGCAGTACAGGTAGACATGGAGAGTTAAATAAATGAAGTGTAAGCATTACGGAATGTTGGAGAGCATAGACCATCATAATGAGAGATAACGATTCCCAGCAGAAATAAAAACAAAAACAAATTTGGAAACAGTATATTTTTTTTTGTATTTTCCATGGGACTATCTATGTCAAGATAGGCCTAATGCACCACGGAAGGGAAGTCTCTCCAGGAATTCATTTTTCACTTGAATAACATCATGATACGACTTACACATTTCAAACAAAGTGTTGAAAATGTTTTGACGTGTTTTGCGATTTAATTAGCACTCTTTTCATCAAGCATTAATAAAGTATTGCTTTGTATATAGCTACACTAAAAAAAGTCACAGATTTATTGGGCACTTGTGACTAAACTCCTTCCCTTTTTTGACAACTGCCAATTTTCTTACTCTCTCCATAAAGTTTCTGACCACACAGAATAAAATGCACTTCAATTTAATCCAGGGTAAAAAATTTATAAAAAGATTGTGAAACAAATGTACAGGTGCATGTATCTCAAAATTTATAGACCTAGACATCTTCAAGATATCTAAAAGACTCTAAAATACTTTATTTTCGCTTGGAATTAATTTTCGCTATTTTCGCTGAAAGAATGATTCAGTGAAAATAAAATCCAGAGAATATACCCGTTTTCCTATATTTTACTTTCAACTTGTCAAAAATCATTGAAAATAAATTTCATACCAAACACCCAAAAAGTCTTTTTAGCAAAAATTAATTCCAGCTAAAATAAAGTATTTTATGATATCTCAAAACACAAGTCCATTTTGGTAGACTGTAACCGAACAGGGACTAAAAATGGCCGCCATTCAACCACCTTAAATTTGTTATGAAATAAGTTCATGTGCATATGTGTGATATGATGTATGCATAAAGTTTGAATGTGGTCGATCAAGGCAAGTCTGAGATACAGAGGCAGACGAATGAACGTACAGATAAGTCCCTCTGTTTTCGAACTAATTCTAAAGAAGAACTAATAAATTCCAATTCCCCAAAAAATTGGAGAAAGAAGAAACGAGAAATGCAGCATGTATGTGACCCTTTAAGTTGATTCCCATCATCCCTTGCAGCACAGATGCATTATTAGTTGTGATACTCACCTCACCCATGCACTCTTCAGCATGTCCAAAACATGCACACTGACCTGTAACATCCCAGTCAACAACGGCAAAAAAGCTTCGTAATGGGTCTCCAGATCCAGGAGCAGTGATCAGGGTGACTCTGATATCGGTTGCTAAGAAATATGTTTGTGATTCATACGCGAAAAAACTTGATCCAAATAAAGAAGCCGGATTGTAAAGCACCTGGAACACAAATAATATTCTGTCATTTTTTAACAGAAGTAAACAAGCAATTTTTTTTTTCCCCTTTCTTCTTGTCTGTGTATTTGTTATTTTGATAAGAAATAAAATTAACTTAAATATAAAAAAAAAAAAATACGGGCAAATTTTTTTAGTCTGTGACTATCTTTTCTATGTATTGGATAAGAAGGCATCTGGTTGGTAGTTTTCAAGAAGCAAACATTTTATGACGATAATGAAAAACACCTATATGAACAGGTCTACTCCATCATCTTTGACAACAGTGGTTGCTATGGATGTGATTGCTAGGGAAAACACTTACATAACACCCATCACCTGATATTTCTGATATTCATTATGTCTCATCACTTGGCATAGAATTACATTTTTGCATAATAATGAGGTCACGTGATCACCATCCCCCTTCGCCAAAGGCTATCACTGGTATGTAAAGTGGTGGACTAGAAAGCAAACTCCATTTTCCTGTATGTTTACCTTCTGAGAGCCAAAGTCGACTTTAGTCACCAGTTTAAAAAAAAAAATTGATTAAGACTTGTAGCCAGTAGGAAATTCTTTTCATTTGGTTCAAAATTAACAAAAATAAAATAAAAGAACCCATAAATATTAGCAAGTTGTTTCAAAAAAAAAACTATTCATTAAAACAAAAACGAGGAAATGTTCCACAATAACTCACTTTGTGTGATCATAAATTTTGACTTAAAATCAGCCAGTGCATATTTCATGAAATCTCTTCAGCATTTGACAATACACAAATTTATTTTGTAATACTGACTTTTAACATTGAACATCATTTTAACTAACTGGGAATATTGAGTGAAAATCATTTACCGGGGTACTTACTACTACTATGTTCAGCAACCCAAAATATGTGATGTTTATACCAAGTATCAAGTTAGAATTGGTCTATTTATTGCTGAGAAATCATTGAACAATTACCCACACACATTTACTCAACCAACCAGCCAGCCAACAAACCAACCAAAAAAGAAACACTATGTGGCTACAGAACGCTACAAATCTTTGAAAAAAAGATTCACAAAGAAGAAAATCAAATTTTGAATCTTTATATTGTCTATTCAAATAACAATATCACTGTGAGCTTTTCACAACAAAAGATGTTTTGTTGTACCAGAAACGGAATAGTCAAAAGGCCAGTCAATATCTACTGGTACACACATTCTAAAATTAGATCCTGTTACAAACTGATGACTTCTAGATCAATTACTAGTACGGTTACGCACCGACCTTTGTAGTAAAGCATTTCTATTTTCAGTTATATAACTACAAACTAGAATGGAATTCCGTTTTTTCTTTAATGGACGCCAGCTGGAACAAATGTATGTATGAAATTGCATATGAATATAAAACGATGCACCTCTCGCTATTGGAATCATTCGTTTTATTTTCTCTCCATTGGACATTTATTCGTTATTTGCGACAACTTCTAACATTCACTTTCACAGCTGCATTCCTAGAATTTTTTTTAATATACAAAATAGTCACAACTTCATTTGCGTTGGATGTCCAAGTTACAGAAAAGAAACACATTTAAACTATTTTTTTTCACTTAAAAAATAAAAGAGATACAGATGGAAAGACAGAATTAAATTGCGCTCACTTTGAAATGCACCAATAAAATATTTGCGCAGGAAAAATTATTATGACTCTTTTATTGGAATTTTAATTTAAAATGAAAGTATGCCCTCTATGGCAACAAATTGAGAGCTATACATTAAAGTTGGACCGTGATAGCACACAGCTTTATTAGGATTTGGGGATTTAAATTATTTGACAGTCTTTGTGCGATTTGTCTGGAAATTTATAATAAATGTTCAAAATTCAATGCTTCTCAGTATGTTTGAATGCTGGCAGTAGCTTCAATTTTTCTATTTTCTTTTCATTTCTTTTATTTTACTTAGCCAGTGTTCATCATTTCCTGTCAATAGGCCAGGCCTATTTACAGACTCAGAAATATGGGTCAGCACAATTAACTCATGCATATATACCTGGGGTACATGCAATAAGAGAAATGTGTCAAGTTGTTCTGTGAAAAAAGATCTGCAACAAGATTCTTTTTACATGCACTAAGGATTAGGAATAATACACAGGACAGGCATCTTCACATCGCCTGAATAAAGATAGCATTCTATTAAACACGAATGGTGCAACACCCTGCAAGTGGGCAGATTGTACTGTTATTTCCACTGCTGAGTGTGTTGTTTGCCATAGGAGTCAAATTCACCCTGATGTTGAGCAGACATACTAACCATCATGTGATTGTGACTATGTGCTTGAATTCCTGAACGCTAACACTTTTAAAAAGTACATGTATTCCAATGCGCATGGATACACAATGATTCACTTCTGTTCTGAATCACTGCAGTCATTGTAACTAAAACAAGGCAGCATTCTAACAAATCCTTGTTTTTTGTCCGTGCAATACAAACTACTATAGAACCCAAGACTCCCAGTAAAGCTCTATGAATGCTCACAGAGTAAAATTTTATAAAAATGCATGTATATCATGACTGCTATTTATAATGTCTGAATAAATACATTCAATGTTATTAGAGGTGAAATTCATGTTCATCACCATTGGTTAAACTGTTTGAACTTGTACACAACAATTTCTTGTTAGCTTTGTATCAAATTTAATAAAATTTCTCATGTGTCAAATTTCTCATGTGTCAGCACTAGCACTTGCAATTTGCACATACAAAAAAAAATGTCAGGAGAGACAATAGTGACACTCAATGTCCAGAACTGTCGCCTGGCACAAACATTTTTATAAATAAAAAACAAAACAAAAAAACATTCCCATTGCTGTCCTTGGGGGCGAGGCTACATCCCAGAACATTCTACGTTTTAAGACACGCATCATTCTACCGTGTATTTCCATGAGCTCTGTGCAAGCTGCTGTGGAACGCCGATCGAAGGGGCCGGTGAAAACCGCTAAAGTCAAGGAAACAGCACAAACTCAATTATGAAGTAATCCTGAGCAACCAAACTAGGGGGAAGTTTGTCTCAACAACTATCCCAAATTATATTTTTTGAGGGTTTTCGACCTTTGTTTTCACCATGATGGTTGCTAGGCGGTGAAAATACTCAGATGTCTGCCCCCAATGTCTTGATCAAAATTTTTCATAAAATATGGAAAAAATTATAATGCTGTTTATTTTGTGGAAGGTGACAAAAGTTGACTTGGCCATTCAAAGCATTTATGATTTAACTAAATACCAGTGAACATTGTTCATATTCAATTAATTCTTACCTGTTGAATGGTTCCAGGAACCGTTGTACTTGAATCACCCTGGTAGTATGCTTCAATGCATGTCGCTTCGAGGACACGTACTGGATTATTTATGTCTGTAAGTGGAATATCGGGAAAACTGCTCGCACAATCCTGCGCATAATATTGTAATTTTTTATATGTAATCCCATAATCGATGCTTGTTTCAATACACATATCTTGCGGTCGAGGACTGCGAAAAGCAATCGTCATACTCTGAAAGAGAAATTCATCACCCAAAGAAAGTATCAGCTGGGTATTGTCTGCATTGTTAGTAGACTGCCACCAAGTGTCAAGATTTGGAACATCGACCTCCACGCCCAGTTGAACCTCTTTTAGAGAATCGTACAAATAGTCCTTCGGATGAGATTCTTCCGGGATCGAAGCATTACAAGTCTCCTGTATCAGCATCTCCTCGCCCTGCGTGTTAATGTAAATAAGTTCGTAATCGTTTGCAGGATCGCCACACGTTGAACTTACAGAAACCGTCCTATTTATAAACGCTGTAACAATGAGATCCTCAAATGATGGATAACAAGCTTTATTGTTACACTCCCCAGTATCCTGGGCAACCGTTGCTATAGCAGCAGTCAAAATAATTAACGCAGTCCACAAGTGATTCATTATTCGCAAGTAGTTCAGGAAATATGATAAATTTTTCTCAACCTCTTTCTCTGGGTGATAAAGAAATGGACTACCTGTAAGATAGAAATGGACTACCTGTAAGATAGAAAATATTGGTTAATAGTAAAATTACTTTATTTCATATATCGCTTCCTAACTGTGCCATATCACTTAAAGGGTGGTGGCGACCGTCGCTCAGTGTGTCTTCAAATTTCATATAAACAATGTATTTTACACTTATTGTATACGTCGCTATGAATCATATATCGAACAGGAAGCAACGCACCGACCACCGCCCTTAAACCGTCCACACAATTTTAATTAAGACAAAATTAAAGACATCTACACTGAAAAAAAAATTATTTACAGAAGAAATAAATTTTGAAAAAAAATATCAAACATGGGTGAGAATATATAGCTTATGACTAAATGTCTTGAATAATAAAAACATTCAACAAATTATTGGTTGAAAGGGCGTGGCAACGATGTGTATGATGATTCAATGCAACAGTCACATATGTATAGGCATTATCATATGAAAGATTACGCAATACTGTAAAAAACATTTATTTTTCACTTTTTTGATGTTTTGAGCAATTTCCTGGGTTTTAAGCTCACAAACTTGGCAAAGAAACAATGATCGAGATATATTCTTAATTTACATTTAACTCAGCGGATTTCACTTCTCAACAAAATTACCCAAACTGAAAAGCGAATAATTAATAAATGGGTTTTACAGTAGTTGAAAAGTACCAAGGGATTGATGAATCACTACTCATCCAAAAATAATCATACTAAGGGATGACCCATTTGAAATCTGGGGAGGGGCTGAAGGAAATTGGTCAATTACATACATAGGGATTTTTTTTCTGAAATCCTCCCCTCAATTTCAAATGGGTTACCCCTAAGTCCTGGGGATTTTGTACATTGAGGCAATATACTGTCCACTATACTTTATGAAAAGCATATCTCCAATGTAAGTGTGCATCAACCAACAGTTGTATTAATTGTACACTGAATTATTAAAATATTACTTGTTTTTAATATAGATACACCTCTGTAATTTACGAAAGAATTTAGGAAACAATGGAACATAGGTTTCTGATATAAACAAGCAGCCTGGGCTAATACTTCAATATTCCGATACCCAACTGTGATGGAAATGTTTGACTATTTTTTAAGGGCACCAACAAATTTATGTGGGTCATCTTGAATTTAAAGCACTGGAACAGAAAATACCACATGCACGTACACTATACAATCCATAAATTACAGCAACAGCAACGACAATATATTTGTGATTTTCAAAAGGCATATTAATAACACTGAAATATAAGTATTTGACTGTAGGCATGTATTATATTAGTCTAGCATAATGGAATAGAATGCAGTCATTAATTATATGAAATAACAACAAATGACAAAATCTACAGGTCAATACATGTTCATTCATTTATAATTTTGAAAACGGAAATCAATTATAGCGACATAAAAATAATGATTTTGTTTGAAAAGAATTATAAATTGAAAAAAAAATTATTTGTTATTAATATTTGAACACTTTTATGAAATAAAATGCAGTACAGTTGTTTTTAAACATGCCAGAACAGTTGTTATATAAAATATACATAATTTTTTTTTAATAACTGAAAAGGACAAATACCCTTTGGGTAATCATTTGATTGGATGAATACTGTCTGTAAAGGTCAGTATGACATTTGAACTACCACTTCCTCACTCACCGAAGAAAAAAAATTAAATGGAATTTAACATTGTATATCAGAATATGATGACATTTTTGTAATATTTGAAATATATTTTTGCACGGTCATGGCTGAAGAAAGATTCATGGGTAACAGACCAACTACCAAAGAGCTTGAATCCTTCAATTATAATGCAAAGGTTACGTGTTATGTTTTATCAGTTTCAAATAAAGTGGTCATGGCTTTCTTGAACATTTGATGCAGGACGACAGTGGCTCAGTTAAAATTAAAAATGTGCACTGTAATTCATACAATATACTTGGGTAACCCGACCCTAACTGCACACCCTGATACTGGTCTGCCTGATCAATACATGGAATGAAATTCGACTACGCCATATACATGTACTGAAATTTAAGTGATGTGGGTTCTATTGTAATACATGTAACCGATGTTGTAGGTAAAATAATGTGCAATTTAGTTTCACAAATTACTAACAATTGACACAGGAAATTAAGACATAATAAAACAATCCAATACGATGGTGTTATACTGTTGTCATCACATATCAATAATAAGGTGGCTGGGTTTGCGCCAGTCATTGTAAACTTTAACCTAACCAGACCAAACATGGTAATTTATTTTTCGGTGGTATTATTTAGATATTTATGTTCCTCCATCAACATGTGTACAATTTGAATATAGTGATGCGACAGAATCGTCGAGACGGTTAATTAGTGTATCTCACACTCCCTTGCAGTAAACGTCGTTCGTGGTAACGTACAATAACAAAGGTTGATTAGTACCGGTAACGGTGTTTCATAGCGTTATTAAAAAATTACAAGAATATTGCATTGTCCGGTTCCGTTCATCCATCACACCACGAACCAAGTGTGATAAAAACCATCGCTATTTTTCGTAATGGTTTTGCAAAATCTAAAAGCTCCAGCAGGTAATCTGCTCCGTTTGTATCGCAGCGAATAGCAACAGAATACACAGGCCTACCTCATTTTTTCGCTGGAGTTATATTTTCTCGCCAAATTCTTGTGAAAATATCTCTGGCTACCACTTTCCACTTTCACTGATCCTGGGAATACACACAACCTGCCGCATTGTGGGTTGTTCATTGTTATGTAAATTGAGGTCATTTTGGTGGTTAGGAGAATTGAAAATGTGATCAGTACAACCAGGAAATAGATAAAGTGACTACCGCCGCCACACGACTCGACTCGAGTTCCTAATAAATCGCATGACATACTCTGCCCATTTACAGTGTAATGAAATCTAAAATTCGAACAGATTTAGGATAGAATAGGAAATTTTATTTGGAAAGTCCAAAGACATAAATAACAAAACAGCACAAAATAATTCTAAAACAAGAAAATTGAATTTCGCTACTATGCTTGGATTTGAGAAAATCGTTTACTATACAATTTACGTCATGATAAAGTAAAATACATTAACACTAAAATCAGAAAGCTATTTAATAGTAAGGGCGGTGGCGCGTGTTCGAAATGCATGCAAACAAACAAACACTGTAATTCACACGAGTAGTGTACGTCGCTATGAGTCATATATGAGATATCTGAAAAAGAAATAAGGCTAACAATTAAACAAATAAAGAGTAAAAATCATCTGGAGGTGATGGTTATCAAGTTGTCCAGTTCAGATTTTCCAATTCAGTCACTACATACATTATTTAATATAATCCTAGACTCAGATCTTTGGAATATTAGTATTATATTATATGTTAGCTGTTTCTAGTTGTGTAGGTCAAACTTTTTTAGTATAACTAACACTAGAATTAGTCAATATACTGAAGATAATAACATTATAAATAATAACCAGGCGGGATTGCTTAAGGGATACTGTACTACAGATTAGACAATGAACAATTGTTAACAAATACCTGAAAGCAAAGGGAAAATTGTATTTATGTTTCATACACTTTCAAAAAGCATTAGATACAATTTGGAGAGTTTTTTTTTTTACAAATTACGTAATACATGTAATAGTATAAATGGTAAAATCTATAACATCATTAAAAGTATGTATCTAAATACAAAATCATGCATTCGTTTCAAGAATAAAATTACATCCACATTTGAAACGATCAAGGGAGTTAGACGGGGTTGTGTCATTACCCCCAATGCTTTTTAATTTGTTTGTTAATGACTTGAATAATTCACTAGAAGATGAATCACTAGATCCAATTACATTGAATAACTGTAAAATAAGTTCCCTACTCTATACAGATGAACTGGTATTATTCTCTGCAACAAAAAACGGTCTACAAAACGCACTAAATAGTTTAGAGGTTTATTGTCCTAAATATAAACTCCAGGTAAATCTGACAAACAGACGAGGAACACTGAAAAAGACAAAAAAATTCTATTATAAGGAACAAATGATTACCTGTGTAGATATGAACAACTACCTTGGTATAAACATAAAGTCAAATGGCTGCTACACTGAAGCCAAACAAATGTATGCATTGAAACAGTTCCTACCACCAGAAACAAATTGTAGAACTTTCATCCATCTTTTTAAAGGATGTATTCAATCATGGAGGTAAAAAGAGACCCCCATGATTCAACCAATAGTATTGTATGGGTCTGAAATCTGGGGTCATGAAATTCAAGATTACAACAAATGGGACAAAAACAGAATTTGCAGACAATGTACGCAGAATGAAATAGGAGATGAACTGCACTTTGATATACGCTCGATATATACATTATTACGCCAACAAATCATACAAGACATTACATTTCCACAAGAAACACAGGATGATCTCCAGAAATTTAATTTCTTGATGACTTCAAAAGATGAGGTAATAATAAAAAAGATTGGCAATTATTTTCATAACGCATGTCAATCAAGAAATGAAAATACCATATAACTTGTAAAATTTACTTTATCCCATTAACACATTTGTTTCTTTTTATACATGTAGTAATAGTTATCACAACTAAATTATTATTATTATTATTATTATTATTATTATTATTATTATTATTATTATTATTATTATTATTATTATTATTAT